CACACACTCTCTTTTTACAGCACATATATATATATATATATATATATATATATATATATATATATGTTCAGCTATAATGTTGATTTCTAAACAGTTACACAATGAAAATATACAGCAGGGACCAAAAATCTGAAACCACAATGAAAATTTGAGATTCAAAATCAAATTTACACCAATTTAAAATTTTGAAAACATGAAATAATAATAACAAATAAAATACTTGATGTCAAATTCCCATATATTTTTCAGTTCAACTTTTCACTATTTTTATAATGTATATAATTTGTAATAAAAAGAACAGCAGTTTAAAAGATTGAGGTCGGTAAGATTTTTTAATGTTCCTGTAAGTCTCTAATGTTCACCAAAGGCTGCATTTATTTAATAAAAAATACAGTGAGACAGTAATATTATGAAATACTGTATTATTCAGATATTTAAAACAACTGATTTGTAATTTAATAAATTGTAAAATGTAATTTATTCATGTGATGGCCAAGCTACTCCAGTCTTCAATGTCACATAATATACTGATTTGGTGCTCAGAGATAAAAAGAAAAAAAAAAACGCTGCTTCTAATCAATTTGGAAAACAGTTGGTCTGCTTAATATGACAACAAAAATCACTAGTGGTTTTACACTTTTGAAGCCAATTGTACATTATCATCATCATACATTGCTAAACACAGTATGTAAGGCTTTTTAAAACATTAAACACTGATTTTTTTATGATCATTTCAAAATGAATATAGTGTCCATCTGCCTTCCTGAGAGTTTCCCTTTTGGTTCTAACAAAAGTTGTTCTTCATTAGCTTCTTGAAACCAGGTTCAGCTTAAAATCAACTTTTAACCCTTTCATATGTACATTCACTTTCTTGAGTGTCAAGTATTCTATCAATAAGATTTATGAAGGCCAGTGATGAAAGAAAGGCTACAAACTACAAAAATAAAATCTCTAATACACTACGAGGCACATTAAAACACCACAAAGTTCCTTAAGTACTCTCTCGTCCATGTAGAGTGTTTTACATGGTATCAAAAATAAGGTATCCAAAGATTACATGTACCACAGCACAGAAGTTATATGAAGTGACTCACCCACATGTGTCTTTAAAACTAGAGCTGAATCTGATTAAAGTGATGTAACTGCAGCTGTTCTTTAAAACATACATTTTAAAGCAAGTGTCTTGTGTGGCCTCTCTACTCAGGTCCAGTGGTTGTGCTGTGGCTCTGGAAGGGGATGTTCATGGCTCCGGTGCTGGTCTGCTTGGGCCAGATGGGAGACTCGTGCTGCAGGGGTGTGCGTCTGGGGTAGAAGGTGTGCTGGAGGTCGTAGTTCAGCAGACAGCTGAGGGATGCCATGTAGATGTCTGCGAAGCGGGAGAGACGGCGCGTGAAGTAGGTCGGGTTGTGGTATGTGCGGAAAAGACTACCAAACTGGGCGTTGAAGATGTCTTTGGTCCGTAACCTGTTGGAAACCAATTGTTTTTAATAATTGGATACAAAAAAACGTGACAATTTTTGGCCATTTCAAGCTCAATTCGAATAAAATACAACAACTCAAAACACCTAGGTTCATCTACATCTAACATTTTCTCTATGCCATCAATACACTGTAGTCTACTGTATACATTGGTTAGAAGAAAAATAATTTCTGAATGATTTTCAATGTCAAGTTTCTCTATAATGAACCCAAATGTGTGTGTCTGTCAAGGTTATTGTAGTTAAAGGGATAGTTCACCCAAAAATGAACATTCTGTCATTAATTACTCATTGAATAAAGTCGGTATTTTTTGTTTTCTTTGTGCACAAAAAGTATTCTCGTAGCTTCATAAAATTATAGTTGAACCACTGATGTCACATGGACTATTTCACTGATGCCCCTACTACGTTTCTTGAATGTGTAAGTTGCATTGGTGTCTATGCAGGGTCAGAAAGCTCTCCGATTTCATCAAAAATATCTTAATTTGTGTTCCAAAGCTGAACAAAGATCTTACGGGTTTGGAACGACATGAGGGTGAGTAATTAATGATAGAATTTTCATTTTTGACTGAGCTATCCCTTTAACTAAAACTAATACCATCAACATTTCTTTTACTTGAAATAAAATAAACATTAACAGAAATAAACTAAAATATATTTTTAAAAAAATCTAAACTTGTTTTATTTCAGCTAGGGCAACATTTCTTATTTTCATTTAGTTTAACTTGATATAGTAAAATAACTATAACTACAACTGAAATAAAAATTTATATATTAGTATAATTTAGTATTACATAACATTCATTTTTTTTAATATATTTAAAATAATAGCCTTAATAAAAGCCCATTTTTAAATGTTGTATTTAAATTGTATATTATAATATATATTTTTTAGCATTAAACATTTGATTTTTTTTAACATTACATTTATAAAATAAACTGCTGAAAACGATTTCTCATGCATTTAAATAAAAGCCATTTAAGTATTACATTTAAACTATATGAATATTATAGATATGTAATACCTTAAGTAATAAACATTTTTTATAAATATTATAAATATATTTTTAATTTCAGTTACAATTATTAAATATGGTATTAAATAAATTTGTTTTTCACACACATTTTAAATGGGTCTTTACATATTTACATAATTATATTTTTTAAATAGTATTTATAGTTCTATTTACTATAGGAGTCACATATTTAATGCCATATTTAAAATATATAATATTGATCCCTTAAAAATACATGTAATAAATTTAGTATTAAACATTTTATATTAATATTAGAAATATTTAATATTAATATTATTCACACATTTTAAATGGTTCTTCTTTACACATGAATATAGCTGCCAGCACTATATACCATTTCATAGGGGGATGCTGGTCTGCTCGGGCCAGATGGGAGACTCGTGCTGCAGGGGTGTGCGTCTGGGGTAGAAGGTGTGCTGGAGGTCGTAGTTCAGCAGACAGCTGAGGGATGCCATGTAGATGTCTGCGAAGCGGGAGAGACGGCGCGTGAAGTAGGTCGGGTTGTGGTATGTGCGGAAAAGACTACCAAACTGGGCGTTGAAGATGTCTTTGGTCCGTAACCTGTTGGAAACCAATTGTTTTTAATAATTGGATACAAAAAAACGTGACAATTTTTGGCCATTTCAAGCTCAATTCGAATAAAATACAACAACTCAAAACACCTAGGTTCATCTACATCTAACATTTTCTCTATGCCATCAATACACTGTAGTCTACTGTATACATTGGTTAGAAGAAAAATAATTTCTGAATGATTTTCAATGTCAAGTTTCTCTATAATGAACCCAAATGTGTGTGTCTGTCAAGGTTATTGTAGTTAAAGGGATAGTTCACCCAAAAATGAACATTCTGTCATTAATTACTCATTGAATAAAGTCGGTATTTTTTGTTTTCTTTGTGCACAAAAAGTATTCTCGTAGCTTCATAAAATTATAGTTGAACCACTGATGTCACATGGACTATTTCACTGATGCCCCTACTACGTTTCTTGAATGTGTAAGTTGCATTGGTGTCTATGCAGGGTCAGAAAGCTCTCCGATTTCATCAAAAATATCTTAATTTGTGTTCCAAAGCTGAACAAAGATCTTACGGGTTTGGAACGACATGAGGGTGAGTAATTAATGATAGAATTTTCATTTTTGACTGAGCTATCCCTTTAACTAAAACTAATACCATCAACATTTCTTTTACTTGAAATAAAATAAACATTAACAGAAATAAACTAAAATATATTTTTTAAAAAATCTAAACTTGTTTTATTTCAGCTAGGGCAACATTTCTTATTTTCATTTAGTTTAACTTGATATAGTAAAATAACTATAACTACAACTGAAATAAAAATTTATAAATACTATATAGACAAACTCTAAAATTGAAATAAAATTGAATAAAAGTAAAAAAAAAAAACAGTATATACACAGTATATAATAGTATCTCAATTTAATTAAAATAGTACTGGTCTGTTTGTAGAATAAAATTATAAAGAAAAAAAAAATTACCTTAATAAAAAATATATATATTAAGGATAATATTATAATAGATCATATTAAGGATTACCTCATCTCCTCCCTTTCATTGATCCACTGCTGAATCACCATTTGTGACGCAGAGTCCCGATGCACCTGCAACATAACGAAAAAATACAGCTTCATAACTAGCTCAAAACTAGCCAAAGTGGAAAGGACATATGGACATGAAAATATAGAAATGGAAATGACATATAATGCAGTTCTTTTCAGTTGGGCGATATCATTCAAGTAAAAAAAAAAACCCACGTTATATTGGTAGCTTATTAGTTATCAGCCAATATTAGAGATTTATTTTAATTTATTGGTCAATACTGAATATTTGCATGTTAATGTCTGCTTTTTTACATTTAGATTACCTTTATGGACTAACGCTCAAATAATAGCACATTTTAAATAGTTGTACAAAATAGTACTGAATTTTGGTAAGTTCGTTTTGTTATTTAGAGCGCCCCCGGGTGGTCTGAC